TTTGTATACACTATATTATATATATATATATATATATATATATATATATATATATATATATATAATGTTGTATCCATTATAAAATGAAATTTAATTAGCACTTATGATAACAAGATGAAATTTTCTGTCATTTATTTTACTGTATCATTTTCTTCTGTTTATCTAATTAAATATTTTTAATTTTCACACAATTATTATTATTATTATGTGGAATCACTGCAACTTACGACTGAAAAAGATAGATTAATACCAACCAATCAGGTAAGATCACTTTTCAGATTTTGTTTGGCATAGCTTAAATGTCCATTAAATGGTTTTCACATACGGCTTCATTTATGGACATGAAATTCACTAGTAATTGTTTTCTTTTTGATGATATTTTATTTTTCTGTCAATGTATCTTTGTCTTTTCACTGAATGAATCCAAGAATTGTGAATACTCTTGTTTAATGTAAATAAACATGAGATAAACATTTCTTCCGTCCTGCTCATGTATATAAATTGATTAATCTAGTTTTTACAGAAATCTATTTTAACACGAAACTAATTTAAAATAAACAATTTCGTCATAGTATAATATTATCATGATGCATAGTCATTTCAGTTGAGGACAACAGAATATGTGGTTCTGTTTGAAGCACAAATATCATTCAATGTTCGTCGCTCTATATTATGCATTGACTGAAGTTGAAAGTGTGCCTTATTGAATTGTAACTTGGTGGTCTAAAGATTAAGGGGTTAGCCACGAAACTTAAAGGTAGTGAGTTCACAGATATAAAATATTGAGTAGTTGCATTGTAGAACGTACTAGGACAATACTTCCTGGTTTTTGATAACACCTAAAATGATATCAATCCCCGAGGATTACCAGGCGCATATCGTATGTAATAGCATTTACATCACATGGTGAAAGGTATTTAATTAAAAATTAGAAGTAACAGTAGATATTTAGAAAGAATAGTATTCAGTTTTCTTTATTCCCTGATGTTTTATTCTATCGGTACCTTTACCAAAATGAGGATGATGGACTTTTCAGGGTGTGGCTATTATGATATGCTCTATGCAAAATCTAATTACGAAAAGTTCCGACCTTGAGGACAGGCTACTTGAGAGAGGAGGCAAAAGCAGAAGAGAAAGCCCAACTGACTGAAGAATAATATATGCATATACTCATATATATATATATATATATATATATATATATATATATATATATACATATATATATATATACGCATTCGTCCTTTAGGACATTTTATGCTGGTCGTCAAATGGCTTAATTTGACCACTTCTGAGTGGCTCATTATGTCAGTGGTAAACTTGATTTCACTGTATGAAGCGAAGATACATACAAATTTGAAACAATTGTTTCAGAGAGTTCGTAAATGACAATAAAATTTGGAACTAATAAATTGATCAGCTATCGAGGGAATCATGAAATGGATTAGATGCCATGGTAGTTGAGATTTATTTGTGTTATAGGAATTGTAAGTGAATCACTTAATCACATAAAGTAATTATAGATATTTCAGTCCAATCACATATAAAAGTGTGGACTGATTGTAAGTAGGGTTATTCATCATTTTGACAGCACTTCAAATATCTGGTCTTTTTTCACGTTTTGCAAGGTTGAATCGATTAAAGCATAAGGATCGTAAACAGCAGCTGCACGAAATCACAAACCATAACAGATTTCGTCAAGAAAGATAAGTAATTGAAGTATTTACTGCAAACAAACTGAAATTTTTATTCGTTAAACAGTTCACATAACTTTCATTCCTAGTCGAAATCATCTTTCAATGTGATCTAAATAAAGATATTTTTGCTGATATCATTATATTTTTTATTTTACTGATGAAATTTGTTCAGTTAATTGGTGAATTCGCATTGATTAGATAATTACAATTATTCTGAGCTCTGAACATCAACCATCTGAATATGAACAATTAAAATTATATATTTATTCCAAATATACTACTACTACACAGTGGACTGAAAGTACCATTTGTTTTAAAAGTTAAACTATAAACTGATAGAACATATGATATTGATTAAGAACGAAAAGAACGATATATCTAAATTAACAGATCAATGATTTAAAAAAAAACAATCTTGATTAATTAAAACAAAATAAACGGTAAATAAATAAAAATTTGTCACTTTAACCTCAAGCTAAGATACTTCGAACAACAATACATCTCTTTTATTTCGAACTAATCATTGAAAATAAAACAGCTTAGAAAGTGATTTATTTTCTTGAAAAGAAGAAACTGAATTATACTGGAGGTTATCTTATTGTGAAGCGTTATAAGCATAATTATAACTTTGTATTAGTGAGGAGTGACCTTTCACAGACAATGAAATTCCGATTGTATATAGGTTACTATGATTAAACTATTGATCTTATTTCGCAGAGAATATCACATTAAGTATTTCTCACTGAGGACTGAGACTGAGTGGTCGAACTATTTTTAGATAATGAAAATGTTGGAAATGAATTCTTTTTATTGCATATATTTATATTTTCTTACAAGACATTTTGAGATGTAAAATGGTTTGACTGTACCGTTGACTAACGTCGCCTGTAATATATGAAATCAGTTCAGTAATAAAACGAAATAATTTCCATTTCCTAGAAAATTATTCTTTAGAAGAAATATGTAGTGGCATCAATCTAATATGATAATATCTGAATTCATAATAATACAGAATATGCTTCCTGTTTGAAAGAAAGAAATTTATTTACATTAAATAAATGCCCTTGTTTATCGAAACTAGGTCATAACATCGTCAGCATATGTTTATTTATCAGTATAAAGAATTGCAAAACAAGAAAATTTATGGATGTTTATGTTAGAACAAAGTTACTTTTAGCGTTAGAAAATTTGACACTGATCAACTGATTCACTAAACAAACGCCGATCACTGATGATGACATTCTATTTAACTTTTTTTTGTCCCAGGATATCAGTTAATAATAGCTGTTAAAATAAATTAAATTAACCCATGATACTAAAAGTAAGAAGATTTCTAAAAATACAGTTGACTGGTTTCTTGCAAAAACACTACTATACGGGGTCAACTAAAGTCTAACGTTGCACGGAGTGAACAAAGATATCAATGATTAAATAGCATACTAATGATAATGTGAATTGTAAGATGAAAAATGTTTTTGTACAATTCACAAACACAGGAAAATACCATCATTTCGTTACGTGAAGATATTTGAAGAAAATAACTAATTCAAATTAACTTAATTTTTGCAAAATTTTATTTATTTTGTTTGCGGGGTGTTCTTTTAGCTCCGAGGCGAGTTATCGGCTCAATGAAACACAACGCATAAAAAAATCTCGTTAAATTTTTATTCAATTAAAGATCAAAAAAGGCTGTTAGAAAGAAATTTCAGATTAATTTTATGAGAATATTTGTGAATGAACTCATTATTAGTGGACATCGGCCACAGCATTGTATTATTCATGTGAATTTGATTGAGATAACAAATTTTATTTGATTTATTTACTCATGATAATTCTAGGTCATATAAGATAAGCGACAGAAAACGAGGATGAAATAAAAGGTTACTTGATGATTGAATGCTTGCCGTTGTCCATTACCTAACAAACAGTTAATGTGAAGAGTTTACCTCCTGGAAAATAATAGTTTCCAATATTCATATAAGTAAATGCAAACATTTAGTTTCACGACATCTGTTCATATATGACAGTGTTAGTAAATAGGACCTAAAACATATGTTCATATTATCCCTAAAAACCATAAACAACTTCGAAAAAGTTGTCGAATTTCAAGCTTTAGTTCGGCTGCGAATCTCGTGAAATAATGAGTTAGTGACCGCAAACAATTACATGAAAATATTCTTATTTTGAAATATTTATGTTGATTTCATGTGATTATCACTCAAATTGCCTTGATTGGTTTAACATTTTCATATAAATATTCATGTATATTAGAGTAAAGCCTGATCACTATCTAATCGAAAACAATATTGTTCGCTTATATGTGTTGTTCTAGATTTCATGAATGTTTGATATGTAACTATATAACGTAAATTAGTGTTGGGAACTGACAAAGAACTAATGATAAAATACATTTGTATTTGTAGTTAAAATATTACTACTGATATTTGTGACTGGCATACTTGCATCCTGCAGAGATGGTAGCTAAAAATCAAATCGAGAGTGAGCGTTTCTTCCTAGTGCGAGGATGGTCAACCAGATGTACTTTCATCCTAAAGGGAATCCTGGATTGTACATCAACTCTGAGATACAGGTACATCCAGTTGACTAGTTCCGAATTAGGAAGAAACGCTCAACCTGGACTTAATTATTAGCTACCATCTATCTCTTCTAAGGTTAAATACTAGTATTTTAACTAAACTGTTTCATAAAGCATACAGTTCAGTGTTTTTCTCATAAATAACAAGTCATATGGAGAAGAGAATAATATTTTTTTAAAATCAAAGACAATTATTTTAACATACAGCGGAAAACCAATAACCGCTGTCATTGATTGGCAACAAATTTTATTATTATTATTATCGTTGTTAACATAATTAACGTGGCACTTGCAAACGTTTCGACGGATTTATTCAGCATCCACCCGCGTTCAATAATTCGTGCCTCATTCATGCTATTCTACATATAACATGATTGCCGACTGATAATTACATTATTATCCTCCTCATACTATGTTAATCATATTTATTCTGATCACTGATCTCTGATAGTAATCATTCTAACCTTAACAGTTTATCTAAACCATTCGATTTCTGATTAGACATCTTTATACTGACTCGATGAGTGAAAGAGTGATAATCATGAAGACTGCGTAGCCTTATATGGTGGTATTCATCTTTATAAGTCAATAACTGTATATGTAAAATTGTAAACCCGAAATAGAATTTGAATTGCTTCTTTAAAACCTCTGAACTTCATATAGAATCCAGTCGGTAACTCATAACTTTTTAGTACAAAAATAATAGTGGCGAGAAATAGGAGATAATGTATCATAAAATAAGTCAAAACAAAAAAAATAATAAACATGCGTAAACACTTTTAACAAGCTAATTAAATTTACTTTCGTTTTTTATCATTCATAAATAAACATGTGAACAAAAATAAAGAAACTTCGAAAATGAAATTGTGTGCAAAAACAACTGATGACCCAAGTAAATTTTTTTTTAATGATAAAATATAATATAAGAGTACAACACAATACATTTTGTTGGAAAACTAAACACCGGAAAATAACGGGTTCACTGAAAATAAGTGTATTATTATTATCATTATTATTGTTATTATTATTATCAATGATAAAAAAAGTTTAGTAACATTTTACTTTTTGTGTAACTCTACTACTGTAATCATTCATCAAAGCTGAACATTATGTATAAGTTTATTTTACATGCTTGAATAAAAGAAATTTAGATAATTTCAATAATTTGAAGAAAAATGATCATATTCACATTAATCACATAATGACTGAACAAATAACAATGGATAGATATTTTCATTTTTAAATTCATCATATGTAAAGATGAAAGAAAATTATTTTTATGATATAAACAAAAAGAAGAAAAAAAAAATAAAGGAATCATTAAAATGTGCAAATAAATCATCGTTCTAACATCAAGAAAACAAAACAAAAATAAAATTAAAACGAAATACTGTGAATTGACAATTCCGAAACATCAATATAGTTTGAGTTGGCCAACAGAGAAATGTTTCATTGATAACTGAGTATAACGAAAAATAGACAATGCGTGGTACAATTAGATAATAGGATTATTTTTAAAGTTGAATATGCACTTGAAGAATATAATCTTTTTTTAAACATAAGTAGTGCTGATCACTTGTTGGGATTGTAGATGTTTGTTTAACTTTTCACGGTGTTATTCAGTTGGTATTTATTCATTAGACAGAAAAGTTTTCCAAATATTAGTTAAACTCCTGTACTAGGTAAGAACTTAACAAGAAACATGTCCATTTACATTATTCACATAAAAATATTTGGTAATGTGATTATTAATAGCATTATGAACATTGTACAGTATAATTTTGGTCTTACTGATAAATGTAAAACAATGAAAATTCATATATTTCTATATTTTAGTAAAGAAAACTTTTGAAGACCATCATAAGCAGAAAAAAGCTTATAAATAGAAGAAAATTATTTTCACACTGGTAATGTTGCTGATTTAGGTATAATATAATTCACAATGCCTTAATTGGAAATGAGATAACACACTGAACGACTACAAATATCATTTTACAAAATTAACCATATTCCAGTTTTATTGTCAATCAACATTGACAATCGTATATTTTAGGAATTTTATTTCATCATGGGGCTTAAATTTGAGCATACTTCATGGCTGAACAATTGAATCGGCACGCTGATCAGCAAACGAATTGATGGTTTCTTGTGTTTAAAGCTAATCACTATTAGTAGACTAAAGAATTAAATGGTAATTCATATGCTTTTCATTAAAATTCTTTGAATAAGTTACGGGAACTAATACTGGATATAGGAATTTCGGACCAATCCTGTTCAAAATATTGTTCATAACAGCAGGTGTCACCATTACTCTGTACCTTAGGTATGATTGGAGGCTGAAACATCAGAAAAAAGGTCATATATATATATATATCATAAGCCTTAGTAAACATTTTATTTGTGTATCTTTCTATGACATAATACATTTTGAAGGTCAAATAAAGCTTGTGATATTTTTATTAGATAATTATTGTAATCTAAACATTTGATCCACTATACATACGGGTGTACCAGTTTGATTAAACACAGATCCTAATTTTGATATTTTATCTAACTGGTTGTGAACACAGATAATTCATAACTTTTCTTATGTACTGATCTTCACTAATTAAGAAATACATTTATACACAAATGTTTACTCAAATAATCCTTGATATGCCGTGAGTGCTGCTGAATTTAACTAGTTATTAAAACCGCAAGCCTTCATGGCTTAACTAGGATCTCTGACTCCTGGATATGCTCAAGTGATACTAGTTAAGTCAGCATGCTGATAAATATACAGTTAACAGGTCATTAATAAGTCAAAATTGAGGGAGTAACCTCCACAGATCTAGTGTGTTTCAATAGTGTTATATTGTCTTGGAGATGATAGGATCCTCAGTTTAATCCTGTGTATGGCTCTACATGGGCATAAACAATGAAGTTGGGCTGTATTCGGTCATATTCAAAATTGTGGATAATTCAGAATTGTTAAAAACCTCTAAGAAAATTTCTAAAATGCTTTTTTATTCTAGGGAATATTGATCAATTATAGTTATTAACATATTCCGTTTGTGGAATTTACTATATCTAATTATGATCAAACTTTATTTTTGGTACAAATTATCTGCCATTTCTAAATTTTCTATAGAATCTAATTCAATATCATGAATTTAAAAGGGTAGAATTTGTTTGCTGACATTTGTATTTCATTGAATGGACTAACTAGAAATTAATGATTATTTACATTATGAAGAATTTTTTTTCTTCAAACTTTGTTCACAGTAATAATAATAAATGATTATTATTAGTGCTTAAAAATGACAAACAAGACTGATTAAAAATGGCGAATTCCATTCTCACTTCAAGCCTAGTAGGTTGATTAGTTAGATTACCATAAGCTTCATATTTTATTGAAATCTAGGTTGTCAAAATGACCGCAGTAAATATCAATATTGACCTAATTTTTACTTGTCTTATTTTTGTCAAGAATTTCATATGATCTTGTAAAGGATTTTTAAATTACATAAATTTTGAAATTCAATCAAAGCTGTTACATTGCAGTGCATTTAAGTTATTTGTTTTTCTAATTATATATCGGGTTTTTTATGTATATATATATATATATATATATATGTATATATATATATATGCATAGGTACATATTTCTCAATGTGAAGCATATAATGAGGATACAGTTTACTGGATATAAGGCAAGAAAAGTTTGACAATAAAGAGCAGTTTTCTGTCTCTGGCTCTGGCATCACATACTATATTGTAGTGCATAACTAGTTTTTTTGAGTAGCACCAAAACTCTTACTTTTACAAACATTAGTCATTTTCGCTTGAATTAAGAATTCACCAAATGAAGGAATGACATTGACGATAGCGAATACACAGGAGTGACGTGATGACGAGTAAAAAAGTGCACGAAATATGAATCCAGAGGATCTTGTCGACTACATCCGAATACCTAATATATCAACATACTGCATGTTACATTAGATCTGTTAGATTGGTGATCAGACTGTAGTTTGATCGTCGGAATTCAGTCAAACATAACGAACCATTGAAATACATCACTGGTTTTAATTGAGTGATTTATCAATTGTAAATATCCCAGTCTTATAGGAGATCAGCCAAAGCAAAAAACAGCTAAGTGGTTACTTCTCGAAAGTCAACAGTTTTCTCAACGACATAGATTTACTTTAATAACTAATGCTAAATATCAAGAAAATTAAGTTTAAAGTTATCTGTAAATTATCTGTAAACATCTAACAGTACATGCCAGTTTATTTTGATTAGGAAAAACCATAATCCAGATGCTGACAGTTTCCCATGTCACTAATATTTCAGAAATGTTTACATTGCACTTTATTTTGAACAAACTTGAAAAGAAATAAATTAAGGTAATCCGTGTTGTTTCACTTACATTTATCGTGTATATAATCGTGATAACTATTTCTTTTTTATAGTTATATCATTTGAAATAATCCATGTGAAAATATAAAATCTGATTTTTATGACACTTAATAGTCTGAGCTGACAGTAACACTGTATCAATATAAAAGTCAAGACAGAACCTTAGTGTTTAGTGTAAATTCAATTTTGGATAAACTGTACAAAATCGTCAGAAAACTTTTGTTCAACTCAAATCATACCGGTTGTATCATTATAATCGTTTTCCAAGTACAAAAATCTCCAAATCAATGTTTGTGACAAATAAAATAAATGAGTATGAGAGACAGAGCAGTTCAGGTTAAATAAACTATGTTTTTCAGTATAGTCAACCACCAGTTATATGGAAATAACGTGGTATATTTAAAAAGTAAATCAATGTAAGTCAAGTGACTGGTAATCATAGCTCATTTGATAAGACTTTAGATGAGTAATGTAATGTCATTAATAGTGTGTATCGTTTAGCTTTAAAGCAACATGGAGCTCGCAGTAATCGATAGGCATGTCTAAAACCGGTGAATCTAATATTGATCACTCGAACAATTAGAACATTAAGCTCACTTCAGTACATAACCTAATAAAATGCTACAGTTAATTATCGGCACGTATACTAATTTCAATAATTCAGAATTATATTTTAATCATCAACTTAAAGATAAGTTTCCTTAATCTCACAGTATTCTTGACATGATATCAGAAATATGAAACTAAAATTTCGATTTTGCAAACAACCGTTAGGATTTATAAATTTTTTTAAACTTCCGATCATTTTCACTAATAAACTTATAACATGTTTTAGCTATCAAACAATACTGCTAAAATCATATACCATTCATACTAAATGGTGAAGCATTCTTCAAAATCAAAGTATTTATTTTTAGAGAAAACTACGAATCAGTGTTTTTAAAATAACATGGAAATGTGTCAGTTTGAAAAGTAATGACACCGAACACAATAATCTGTGATCACAGTGAAAGTATGATGTACGTTTGATTGTACATTAGTAATAACCAATGTATTCTGTCGAATCTATATTCAAACCGAACTCAATCAGTGTCCAGTTTCAAACATAGTGTAGCTATTTCTTAATGAATATAGGAAGTTATATATTTCAGTATCTAACAAGCAATTTCTGTTTTCGAAGCTGTTTCCAAATAAAAGATGAAGATGTTTATTGAGTTGTAATTATTTATCTTTTCATGTTTTGTTCATTTTTAAAAGATAAAACAATAATTCCTGTGGAATAAAATTCTACTTAATCACCTTTAACTTCCTCTGAAAAACGTCATTCCAACAAATATCAACGAACCATGGATGTTCTAGTATTTCATATACACCATTCTGTAATAAAAAATATATGAACAAAAAGAATTACCACGTATAGTTGATGGATAATGACTAGAAATGAAAAGAAGGATCCATGCAAAGATTCAAGAAACCAATACAAATGATCTGTACATTTTGCTTTTCATTTAGACTTGTCTGTAGTGAATGTATACCATGTACACTACAATGCATATTGATTAGTGTGAGTCTTAATCAAGATTCATGGTTTATGGATGTTCATTAATGCTTTAGCTTCAATATAAATTTACATTAAAAGATAAAACAGTGCTTGCTAACGAATTTTTTGTAGAAAGTTAGATCTTTAACGCATTTTGGCAACAATAAAATTCATTTAGAAGAAATAATAAATATCTTTCCAGTAAGAATAGCCAATCGAATTTATCCGCCCAGTAAGTCTGAAAGAGGCATTATAAATGCATTATCCATGTTCAGTAAAATCAAATTGTACTTTTTTAATACTAACTAGATGTAGAATTCAGGAGGAATAGTTCCTTCTATTTGAGATCCGGCAACTGGATGTCCTTAAATTTTCAAATGTTGATGTTGACACTAAGTTTAGAAGCTAGTTCGCATTACTTCAAAGGCCAGTGTTTTATTAATGAAGCTACTGTGTTGATCGTGTTATTAAATAATTATTGTGATCAATAGTTGTCAAAGACTCTGTTAACAAACGTGCAACTATATAGACTACCAAGGTATACTCTGCAGGAGCCGAAATCGATCCAATTCAAATCTTAAACAAAACTCTTATAAATTTACTAAACAGCTTAAAATTTTCTGTCTTACAAAAGACGTTATCAGTGATGTTAAGACCTCTGGAAAAACTCTAAAAGAAAATCCTCTGTTCCTAAGCATTAATTTTTTTTTCATTTCTTACCTTAGAACTGCCTAATCGTTCATTGATATTCGCACGTAAAAACTTCCTGACGATTGATCTATTTTTACAATAAAACGCATAAAAATACAATTGAATGGATAAGCATAAGAAAGACCAAAGATTACTGAAATTCATTGTCAGCATTTAAGTTTATCAAATCAAATCATTATTTCCATCAATAATCCAGAAAATCTTGCTTGCCTAACTACCCTCTGTAGATAGGTGAATCTAATAACCATAACAATTTCTAATAAATTTTCAATTAAACTAATCTAAAGCAACTAACTGAATTTCAGGAATGAAGGCATTTTATTAGTCTTACGTAGAATAAATTTTGATTTTGTCATTATTGCAGTTGGTTTACTTGACCACTGGTGGCAGTTTTATTTCTAAAGAGCGTAATGACGTCGGTCGCATTTACCATATTTTTATGCACTAGTACTTATTTTTATTTACCATAGTTTGAACTTAAACAAATTTCATCATAGATTTTTATTCTCCTGATAAATTAATTGATTTTAGCAAGAGAAAGTATAATTTTTCATTCGAAAGTTATCAATGCTCATTGGGACCAATATTAGCAAATCGAATACACGAAACTAATTACACTTCGAGAAGGCGGTATATCAGCAATAACTTGATTTTAGATTACGTGGTTTCATGATCTGTGCTAGTCGATGAAAATAATAATCAGTCAAATTAACCTAAATATCCCTTTTAAACCATTCATTCAGTTATCTTGACACTTTATTAATTCCTTGTATGTTTAAAACAAAACATCCAATTATATTTTTAAGTTATACTTTAGATAAAAGTTTATGCTGATGATGTTGTTCAGAGGAGCAGTAAAAAGCTACACAACCAAAACATCCAGCTCAAAGAACGAAACACTACCACAATTTATACTTTACTAGACATAACACAAGAAAATGAAACTATGACGATCATGAAAGTTAAGACTGATCAATGAATATTTCACCTAATCTCTTGCATACGTCATCATCGAAGCGATGTTTAACATGTTTAACACTTGAGATGATATCACTTGCTGAACACAATGCAAGGAGTTTTTTTACAGTTTAGGTAAACTTAAAATATGTGGTCACTTACATTGGTGTAACTATTTATTTAGGTTTTAAAACTACACAGTAACAGCTGATTTTGTTTCTATATTATTTATCCTGGTGTGGTAAAGTTTGGATGGAAAAACAGTATATTTTGACCTGTAGTCATAAAGTATACTTTTACTTTCATGATTTCAGTCTTGAAGTTTAATTACTCAAAATATTTTTGAGGTTTTTTGGATTCGGAATAATGTTAGCATAAACAATTTTAAAACGTTCACATGAACCAAACTGGTAGCGATTTATTGATTATATACTGATTGTCTACTAAATCCATTCAAGACGTTTTTAAAATAAATTTACAATCTTCAGCAAATTTGTTTACAAGGTATGCATTTAGATAGTTAAGTGAATGTTGGAAATGTTTGAGTACCAATTGAATGTGTACATGAATCAGTAGGAGGTATTTGACACAAAAGGATTGATTATCCTCGAACTGAATATTAAGTAAGACGTACGTCCAGCAGTAGTTAATTTTTGGCGACTTGGAATTCACATGCCCCTTTTTTAATTTCTGTCAACTGGAGTTATCATTATGTTTGCCAACATGAAAAATTTGTACATCATGTATTTTTTAACTGAAGTAGTAATTTTAGACGACTGCTTATTATTATTATTATTATTATTATTATTATTATAAGATCCTAATACTACACAGATTTTTCAGTAATTAATGACAAACTTGTGAGAGAGAATTTATACTTTACTGGTTAATAAATCACATATGAGTAAATTATTCTGTTGAATTTAAATGGTTTACTAAATGAAAATAACGATATCAAACTATCAAATAGACCATAGTATAAAACTGACAATTATTCACTAGTTCATGATGAAATATTTCATTTAAGCATTACTTACTTAGCATTTTCATCTGTGATTTCTTCAGGGAAGTCAAAATCACCCGAAACAATTTTCTGATATATATTGAATCGATTATCATTTTCATCGTAAAACGGTGGACGACTATATTGTCAATGTTAAATTATTATTATTATTAGTATGATTATCAAGTCCATTCAAAAATGATTGATTGCAGTGGCAAAAAATAAATTAAAAACAAGTGACAAATGAAATAAGAAATTAATCAAGTAATAAATAATGTTTACGCTCAGACAGTTTAATATCAATAAATTTTCAAATTACCCATATCATTCATCAATACTATGTTTTTTTTCAATCTTAATTAAATTATGTATAGTAACATTCGTTGAAATTAGTTTGTTTTATTATTAAGGCCTTCAAGGAGAGTTTATCAAAATAAAGAAATATTGGACTCTACAAGGAACAAGAAAATCGTCTGTCGGCTTAAAAATGAGCAATTTATTTGAGTAAAACAATAATATATAAAACTAAAACGTCAAAGAAATTCAGAGAGTTTTTTAACAGTTTTCCTAAATCACTGATTCTTCGGCGATACTTGTATCTTAACATATTTAGTGAGTTACAGCAAAATGCATTTTCATAGATGTCTTAAAAAATAGACCAGAAAAATATTTCATCAAAGAAAATCATATAGCTTCTGCAGTCCTACAAAAATTACCATTAGGCCTATCAAATAATTGTAGTCGACTATATAATTAACAGAAACATATGTTAATTTATATAAATATATATATATATATATATATATATATATATATATATATATATACATATATATATTTATATACAGCAACTCAGCATGTTCATATATTTTTAAAGTATGTGACTGTACATGGATTGACTTAAAATAAAATGAATTTCGAAGGCTGACCGTCCATTAGACTGTTCATTATACAAGGAGATATTGATTCGAATTTCAAAAAAATGAATTATAACAATCACAGGACATTTGGTTTTTTTTTCAGTCATGAAAGAATGTGGATCTTTTGAAAGGAAACTGAATGGAACATAAAATTAACTAAGTGGATCAAACCATTTGGTTTTAGTTTTGTTGATTTTGCTTTACAGTTGAGTACATCAAGGAAATCTTAGTGAAATATATATGAGGGTAAAATAAGAAAGAGGCATCTTGTATACTTTTTTCAATCATGTCAACTCTATATTAATGAGATAAATTTATGACAATCTTGTAAATATCTTACCTTCAGATCTTCAATATAGTGTTACGCCTGTAACATATTCGCAGATAATTAATTCAACTGTTTCCTTGTAACTGTTCATTTTCGTGACTACACTTATTTTAATTACAGCATAGAATGAATCGTTACATTAAATTATAGTGAAATAATTATCTTGACCTAATAAAGAATATTTTGATTAGCCTGAATCTGAAATCTTCACTATTCTAAGCTATTATTCAGCTTAACGTTTTATCCGGAAATGAGCTAATTAGGTGGTTATTTCAAATATGAAAATCGACAAATCTTCATTGCATGTAAAAAACATACCCAACCAGCATTTCATAAATAATAATCCCAGTGGTCCACCAGTCGGCTGCATGATTGTGACCTTTACCTTGGAGAATTTCAGGTGCCAAGTATTCAGGTGTACCACAGAGAGAATAGGTCCTGAAAGTAGGCAGAAGATTAAGAGAAAAAAATTTTTTTACAAAGGGTATCGTAGCATCTCAAGGTTAATTCATCGTACTTCAATGATTTGTCATTTAAACTATTTGATAATAATATATATATTATGTAATTACTGATTAATGATTAACGGTAAAATACCCAAGAAGGATCTTTGAGTTCGATAATTTTAGGTGGTTTTATAAGCTGTTTTTTTCCATACAATTACTCATGATCAAAAAAACTGTAGCGGGTAGATAGATATGTTAAGATTGTTTTATTGATATTGTTTTGACAAAATGGTTTCGTCAGTGCTTTTAGATTGCGTAAGATGAAGGGTTTTCTCTTGTCTGGTTAGATGTTATTCGCAGTCGCTGATGGTAACTTTACGCTGAATTCTGAGTAGTTTCTGAGTAGTGTATTCAGTTTCTTCATTCATATACAGAACTGCGTTAAAGAGCAATCAGGGTGTAAGAAGTCAGAATTAGGACTTAACAGTGAAAAATACAGACGGATTTTCTTGGGTGCTCACTAGTAAGACTTCCTCATAAATCACATCAAACTGTCTAGTTTTAAGTATTCACTGTCAGAATTCGAAATAAAGTAACTCTACAACCTATCTTTCTCAGAATTAGCCACGATGTAGATAACTGAGTTATATAATGCGTAAACTACAGAGTGATAACTCCTGGACTTAATTGTATGTGGTATACGTTCTTCCGTGGACTACTATTATTCTGAGTAACGTTTTCATTAAAGATTAAACTCAAGTAGAATCTGTAAGTATCAGTGCAAATGTTGGACTTGATCGTTCAGCATTGAGTGAGAAGTTAATAATAAAAAAATAATTAAAATTTTTAGTGATAGACAGATTAGTGGAAATTTGTATTTCTGACATTTTATGACCGCGTGTAAGTCACTTATTCATTTACTCTGAAGAGATGACTTGCATTAAGTCACAACACATCAGAAAAAATAATTTTTTCTCATTAGGCCATCACCAAGAATTATCAGTGTTTTCTTATTGTTAGTATTAAAAGAAAATCTATTCACAGTCGCTATACTCTTTCGATACCTTGATGCGATTACACTTCAGACTACAAATTCAGATACAACAAGTTGGAAATCGATCACATGTAATAGTGAAAGCTAAACTAATTCTGATCATTTTCTTCAAGATTCCTCATCAGTTATCTTTTACATCCAGTAGTTCTATGTAGCTTTCTGAAGAAAAGAGTTAAGACATTCATATTTAAACATCGAAGTCGAAGAATTTTTGTTTTAATCCAATTCTCGATTAGAACTACTCAATGAGAAAATGTTCAAGAATCTATTTTAATTGAAGCAACGTATCCGTGAAAGTAACGCACAACAATTGTATATACTGTGTAATGGTTACCTTTAACTCTTTTGAAGCTGTCTGAAGAATGCTTACATCCACGAAATTATCTTGGTTCACCAGGACGTTGGTCCTGCAGGCATTTACAACCAAGCCTGATTATAAAACGTTTCTTATAGAGCTTCTTTATTGTTTTACTTTGTTTTTTACAAATTACTCACGTATTACGAGATTAACCATAGCCTTTACCTGAATTACATCTTTCTTTTCGATATTTTAGTGATATTAACAGAACAACAGGCTAGTTTTAATAAATCTCTCCGATTAATTGGTTTGTCAGGAAACAATCAGAAATATAAGTATTAAGAGTGTGAGAGAGAGAGATTAATCACAGTAAACTTAAGATTTCTTACTCTGTGCTCTCGTTTTCTTACTTCTAGTACTTACGAATACTGTTAGTAGGGAAAAGAGGCCTACCATTACTACTATAATTTTGCGGCTTCTGTATTTCAGTTTCTATACGAAAAAAATACTTGGTCCTAAATCCTCATCTGTTCACAGGTACCATTCAAAACAATAGCAACTACAATGAAGCAAGAATTTCACAATATTTCTTAGTAGGATGTTGTGGTCTAGTTTAATCTTATCTTAACATTAATACTACTTTGATTCTCACCTAAAAAGCAAACTCCTTATACAACCGTATGTGAAAATCATACTTGAAACAATATCATCCATTGAAATTCAAATAATTCCAACGCACGGTACAAGAACCTTGTATGAACTTTTTCAGCGTAATCATCAAAATCAAAATTATCAAAGATAAATGTGTTATAAATACTCAGTGCCGAATTTTTGTCAAACCATTCGTTCATATATTGACGGATATTATTGGAAATTCTCATAAAATCTCTTATCGTATTATAGCTATCGTTTGAAACAATTACTTCCTTTCAACGCCGAATGCGAAATTGATGTCCAATGGTTGTCTAAATTCTAATTACTAATATATTTAAATTACCTTTCGAAATAGAGACCTGATATCTATCATCCTAAAACTAACTTGACAATGCAGTCAGAGCATCATCTTAGTGCAATCACATTAATTACAAGTTGCTTGTAATGATAAATCTATCTTTACAAGGTTGATGATTGTTATGGTGTGTTTTCATTCATTAATTCTGTAGTATAAAATGACTTCACTTTTGATAATGCACTTTGTGTGTTTATTGTGGTTTATTTACACCAATAATAATTTTTGTCACAAACATTGGATTAAAATCATTTATTTTAAACGTCTCTATAAAAAAAGATACCCTTACGTCTAAATATCTAACTGATCATCCTGGTAAACTGAAGTACATCTTAAAATAATTTTTCTGAGAAGACTATTATTAAATTAAAAATGTCTAATGAGACTAGTATGAACTAAATTTAGGAATTTAGTCTAAATTTTATTTAACTGCAGACGATATACGAGATCCGTTACCGTCAGCCATTTTTAGTATGATCTTATTACTAAATATTACCTATCAAACAGCATTCTGTTAATAATCTTAACAACCTAAAACATGCTTTGACAATCGTTTCTGGCTTTCAGTTTGCAGCTGCAGAAGTACAGTTACGTGATTGATTTCCAAGTGATAATAATACGATCTGACAGTTAATCAATTTGTAAGAATGAGTCATTAATTCAAGTTAGGTAGTGTTTTAAAATTAGTGTTTAAAACAATCAACTTTAAAAAATGACGTAGTTTATCTTCGTTTACATGTCTTCGTTCTCAATCAATTTACTGTAGTTAGAGATTTTGTTGGCACATAATTCGTTCCTACATAATGAACACTATTCATTGTACACGTAATTTTAAAACTTTTCATTGTTATTCATTTTGTAGTTAATAAAACGTAAGAACACATTTGAATTAATTTCGAGAAAAAAAAGCAAACAAAATACGTGAGTGTTTTAATCATTATTATTTTGATCGACAAATTTGAAGAAGCTACATTCATAACAGTCATGTTTTAGTGTGATACGAATAGGTTAACCTATTCAAATTCTATGATATTCTTCAATATTAGCTAACGTGTCACAGACTAGTTGAAAGTAGTGTTTTTAGGACAGAGGTGATCAGCGCATTACACTTGGCAAGAATATCACAAAGAAATCAACTTATAATAATAAATTAGCAAAGGAATGATGAGAAGTTTTCAGTACCTGCACACATTATCACCTACTCATCACTTATTGACACTTAACATACCGATATAAACTAATGTCACCGACCGAGCACGTGTTTAAATAAATCCTATCGTAAATACGTTGTTCATAACATTGAAGAAGCCCTAAGACACTGACAGTCATCAATAACATAAGTGTTTTAATCTTCCACCTTTATAAACCAAAGCTAACATAGTCTTATTTTAGATCAAACTGTAAAATCAGTGAAATATTTATGCATCAATGAGAGTTTTCATGCTGTAAATTTACAAAGCTATCGTTCACTTACCGGTCTTTAACATGTTTTGCAAATCCAAAATCAGTCATTTTCAAGTGACCCGAATAATCCAAAAGTAAATTTTCTGGTTTCAAATCTCGATAGACAATATGCAAACTAGAAAAAAAGGAAACAAGAAAAAGAGAATTAGAAAATTTTTGATAAATAGTTCACTGATAATCGGTTTCATATTTGTTTGTTTGTTTCGTCCATGAGTTGATCATCTTGATTATATAAGAAAACAACCGAACAGACAGCTTTTTATTTTTCAGGTTACATTTTGACTGAGCTTTACAAAAATCGATTATAGAACTGCCTAGACTTCAAATATACGTTAAGAGTGATGTTTGATGGAAACAAAAATACAGCGATAACTAGCAGTTTCATCATTTAGACGAAGAGATAGAGGAAATCTAAGCACTGATTAACAGTCATGTGAATTGTAGAGCAGAAGAAAAAGAGGAAATAGGATTCTCAGTTGAAACAAATTATCTTTCATATCATATTTGGATAAGACTAGTCAAATCATTGGTATAGTTATCATTTTATCATTGATGTTTTATCCTGACCTAATTTTTTGTTGTTGATATTTCACAAACGAAAGATGGTTATACTGTGTGGCAAAGAACATAATTTGACCTTTTAATTGAAATGGAGCAAAAGGAGTCTAATGTTCTGAATCATGTGTATTTGAATGAAAGAGTGAGTCATTGAGGTCCCTAGTCATATATACATATAAATAATATCTTTCATGAATTGTCCAATACTGACCAGCAGTGAACAATATGAAAATCTTAGTAAAATGAAACTAGACTTAGGCTGATCACTATGTATTCGCAAAACATTGTATTACAATGTTATTAATACTACTGAATTTATTTACTACAACATTTCATGGTTGCAGATATGTTTTCTTAAAAGAACATCAGTATTTAAATCTCTTCATGTGAACTGTTCTTTCTTTTCTACACCATCATTCATTATCTACACTAAAAATCCAATTTGGATAATTAACTCATTGTCACATTTTTATAACAGATTGTCTTTCAGCTTAAATTATCAACTGAATACAATTCTTCTAATTAATTTTCATCAACATAATTGAAATTTTCTATTTATAATTGAAATTAACAAGTATGTTAAAAACATTCTTGCCATTTCTCATCATACTGTTTTTTTACTTTTATTTAATCTGTTTGGAGTTATAAGCTTTAAATGAGCGATCCGATAAAATATTATCCACTTCAACGAATTCAGTCGTCAAACAAAATTCAAAAAAAATAAATAAATAAATAAGGTTTTTCTCCTGTTTGTATGATAATTTTTCATATGATCTTAGTTTAGTTGACAGTAGAATGAAAAATGAAAGTGCACATAACAACGGGTAAATGCATAAGAGATTCCAATTCACCATATGCACAAGTACTTTACAATTATTATATTTGTGAATATATATATATATATACATTTATATATGAGAAAATCTTTAAAGCAACATGTATAAAAGCTTTCAGTAATGTTATATATTATGTATAAACTATAAGTCTAATGATGATTCCATGTATCTTTTGTTTGCTTCAGTTAGTTATTATTAATGAAAAATTCTAAACACTGAGTGAAAATTGTAAACTAAGACGCAAAAACTTTTCGAAAGTTTCCAGTAGTTGTCTAGCGAAAGGTGATTTTTGTTGCAGACTGTTTTCAAAATCCCAATTGACAAAATCCACAACAACTGACATCAGCAAACTCGAATTTTTTAGCCTAATCTACCTAATGTTTAAAGTAAAAAGAAAGCTGAAAATTATTTCCTTAACAGGTTAGTTCAAGAACAATCCACTTCAAAACTATTGATCAGCCGTTTCTAATAGACGAAGTTAGATAAAAAAAAATTGAATGATTTGTATTTTATTGTATACTCATAAAAGTTGAAAGATCGCTTTACGCAAGTCTAAACTAGTAATGTAAACAATAACTGAAAAGTAGTATAACCTTGAGTTTTAAATTTCGTAGCAGTCTTTTTTATGTCATTAAAACAAGTATTCAATGACCAGGGAAAAACGTTCCTACTGCATGATTGGACTCTGTGTTACTTAATAGTAAGTGATATCATGTTATTTAGTCGTTACCGATGATCGACTGCTGTGATTTGAGTTGCAATATAGCCTTTAGTGAAGGTAATTTTTCACTACAATGAATCTTATTTATGTTAGACGTCTCGTATCAGTTGAGAGGAGAATTTTGAGATTTTGCAACTTGATACGTATCTACTTTACGTATCTACAATGGTTTCATGAGAAAAAAACTAATTTTAAGTTTTACTAAATGAAGAAAACTAACCTGTGTAGATATTTCAGCGCTAAAATAATTTCACTCGCGTAAAATCGCGTGGTTTCTGATGAAAAATGACCCACTTCACGAAGATATTTAAATAATTCACCACCGCATATATATTCAAATAACATGTATAAAAGTTTGGCATCATGTCCTGTCCAGTATCTTCCAAAAAAAAACAGAAATACACACTTAGTCATTACTTAATAAGTAAAGTGAACTTAAGAACTGATAAAATATTTTTTTTGAACTGTTTGATTAAATGATACATAAAATGCATCAACTAAAAATATTACAATATTAAAGTACATATTTGAGTTTATTCTTATTGATTCCACTGAATGAGATCAGATTATACAGACAAGTTATGATGATTTGAAGCATGACAGTAGCTATATACGCTGCATATATTACAAACAGTTTATAGAGAATAAATATTAATATTACGTAATATAGCTAGTCACATCGTGTGTTTGCACATATAATAGTCTTACATTTCAGATGCATTTACTATATTGTTGAAGTAGATTAGATCTTTAATGCTTGATATAATTGCTTGAACTGAATGACAAGTGAAATCATATCATATTTCTTCTATTTTTTATGGCACTCAGTGCAAAAAGTGTTTAAGTCTGTGTATAATAAATCCTAGTTATACTCTGTTTATCTGTAAACTCTTATGCTCAAAACTTTAAACAATTAACTACAATACCATCACTGTAAAGGTTAAGAAATAGTTTGAGATGATTATCTCTAACCAGTTTGAAAATTACGACTTAATGTTTCCTAATAAGCCCAGTTTACAGAAAATGACAAATTTTTCAATTTGCCAATGTTCTATTTGACATTCTGATGAAACTAAAATAACCATAACTTGGTAATCCAAACAATATGGTATAATACAGAATAGCTATACTCTTATTTTGTAGATTGATACAGAAAAGATGACAGCAGTTTTGATGAACATGTTTTATGATTTGAAAACAGATTTGTACATCAAGGATTAATGAAACTACATGTGAAAAATCGTATTCGGTTTTATTATAAAGACTGATGCAAATAAACTAAGTTCCGAATTGCTTTTTAAGATTATAAAAGAATGTTATATAGATGAGTATACTTGGAACTTTTAGAAATCTGACTTCTTATTTAAACTTTCACAACAGCTGAGAAAATTTTTGTGAATATGCAGTGAGTAAAATGATACAAGGTGCTTTCAATAAGTGCATTTTCTGATATCGAAAATGAACTGTTGAATGTCTCAACACTAAATTAGGAAATAAATTTACGTGGTCATAAACATTTGTTGTTAAAAAAGCTCAGATAGTTTCCGATTTCAGGATTGTCAGTCCCTAGAATAACATGAGTAATTATTTACATCATACTTGTCCCAAACATTGGAAGTTATTCACAATACATTTTAAAAGTTTTGTCGATGAGATTTCAGTCGATTCGTTAAACGTATGTTCAAAGAATAATTCATAGGAAAAATATTTTTCATCGATGAAAAAAGTTTTGGAAAATACAACAATGTCTTAGCAACAACAGCCTAAATAACTTTCAGTTCAGTAGGTAAATTTGTACTCTTAGCTTAAAATGTACACCTAGAATTAATCAGTTGTCGTTATATCTTTAAGCCTTATCACAATGTCTGGTTTTTTATTCAATACTATAATTTACTACAGAGAAATGACCATTTCAAAATGAATTTTTATTGTTTTATGCAAATTAATAGAAATCTAGTTCATTGAATAAATTTTAGATTGTTTTGAATATTATGCACGAAACATTTTTCCATTGTGTCAAATATTTACATTCATTATTGTAAGAAACTAAATGCCAAACAATAAAATATGTAAGCGAATAGTGACCGGAAAGTCTTAAATATGAAATTCTGGGTCAGTGATTATTTATCAGATATTTCCTGAGACGGTAAATAAATGATACAATATCTTGATAATCGTAAAACTTTTGCTCAGAAGTACATTAAAGTACGATAATGTAATCAAAATAATCTTACGATGACTGATTCACATTAGAAGTGAAATACTGGTCATAATGAAAAGTTAAACTTCAAAGTGCCTTTTCAACAAGTGGTTTACACAATCTAGTTTAAGTTTGCTCTTTCTGAACTACTGTAGAGGCATGATTCATTAGACCCATGATTCCAAAGTAATTAAACTCCTAAATTATTGTGATAAGGAGCATTCTTAAAGAAGTTTCAGTGTAAAGTAATTTATATCACGGAATGATAACTGATAGAGAGCAAAAAGAGTATAATCAAATCGGAAGTAAGACACATATCATAGATAACATTTTAGAATAGTGATATGTTATCAGTCAGTGAACGAACTTAAATATTAGTTCGACGTCAAGTGGAGTCGTCGGTATTTGCCACAGATGTTTATTCAGCTGAAACCATATAGGTGGTTAGTCCCCTGACCACTCAGATGATTCTTCATTTCATATTGATAGTGCATACTGAATATTAGTTTTAAATTCCATAGAGTATATCTTCATGTTGTAAATAAGCAAACTTATTGCAAAAATAATTTTACAGTCACTGGTATGAAAAAGTCATCTTAATTGATACGTTTAACAAGGTATACTGCTTCAAAGTATTTACTAGTTGATCTATTTTTAGGAGATAATTATTCCGAAAATTATTTGATGGTATACAACCATAACTAAACATTCGGCTGACGAGTCCTAAATAAGACAAAACATGAGTTCTGGACTCTGCTGCTTACATATTCTGTCTCGACTCAGTAACTAAGTGGGTAAAGCGAAAGCGTCCGGAGCGAACAGAACTGGGTTCGACCCCTGGAGTGAACGTCAACTCCGAATATCGAAGCGGACGAAATCTGAGTCCTAGATTGCACATTTTATATCTTCTACATAACTAGACGGTACATGATCAACAAAATTACTCGACTATATATTTTAACGTATCATAAAATTTAGCATGTTTGGTCCGATCAGAATTTCTTCTACTTTATGATTAAAAAAGGAATTTCCCAGTCATATTTCTATTTCTCATTATACAAAATGAAGATACATTTCTATCAGAATGCATGATAACTTTAAAACTATACAGAACTATATGTTTCACTATAGAATAGCTTTATAATTAGACTAGTTTAATGATTATTTCATCAGAGAAATATTTCATCATCTTTATCAATATGTTAACTAGTTGCTTTTATCGCTAACAGAAGCAATATCATGATAGTTTGTTTAGGTCAACTAAGTAAGATGTATTTATGAAGTAGTTAAAAAAAGATACATATTCTTCAGATATTCTATTGCAATTAGAACATCTGTTTTATTTTCAGTTTTATGTCATCTAAGGTTGTATACAGTGAGATTGCTAGAGTTTAATATTGAAATAAACTCAAGTTAATGTTATCTTGGTAGCGTTATTGTAAGTTCTCACTACTATCTCTTTACTACCCTTTGAAATGACAATGTGAATTTGTCTTGAGCACTAGCAAATATATTGAATACAACTACATAGTTTGTGTACATCTTATCGTACATAGAACTGTTTAGTGTTCACAATGTTACTGTAACAATGGATCACTATACATCTACTGACATTGATGATTACTTACACAACACTTTTGAAGACTTATGAATATCAGCTACTGATTCTAATTTGCTTCATTACTCAATGTTTTCTTTGTGGTAGCAGAAATCAATTTAACAAAAAAAACCGGTCCTCTAAGTTTTAATGCATTCATTGATTAAAGATAGTTGGACTAATGTTGTTTGATTTTGTTAATAAACACTCAACATTAAATACGAGTGTACAATTTTAATGATATGTGACAATAGAAAGATAGTGGTCATAGTTAATCCAATCTGATTATTCTTGCTTCATAAATCTGTTTGGCTCGTTTAGGTAAATTAGATAACTATAAAAATGAAACCAGTAATCAGGTATGATATAATAATTCATGTCATATGGTCACATGTTCTACTTGATTAAAAATCATAGAATCAATATATCCATCTAGAATTAATTAACTGTTCATGGAAGATAACAGTTTTATACCTGTAATAAAGCGATATCAAAAGTAATTCCATCTGAAACGTTTTACTATTTTCTTCTTGAATCTAGTTTCTTTTACGATTTAAGATTAATTGTTGAATATCAATTATAAATCATATGAAAGTTTATGATTTCCAAATATTAGATTTTTACGAGTAATCAGACTGACTATTCTCGGTGCATAGACGAGATTTTGATTGATGAATTTTTTCAAAACATAATTTTTTTTTAATCGAAAAAACGCTATAGTCAATCAAAAAGATAATGAAATATGAAGTACGTAAATTTCTAATGATATGAATTCACAACCACTATTTTCTAGAATTTATTCATTTGGTTTATTCTTCTCATCATAATGATTGTAATATTTATTTTGATTAATGGTACTGGACATGAACCATTTATTTCACAATGACACTCATCGTTGTCTCATATTGATGCCTCACAGACTGGCTAAGAAACAGGCAATTTTAAGTGTCGAAAATCCACCATCTCCTGACAATACATTAATATATACATAGTTATAAATTTATTATTGAATGCTATAACGAGTTCACCTTATTCGGTAAACGAAGCAAAGAGCATTGACTCAGTGGCTATTCTAATCCGTTATCCCAGGCGCTGCTAACTTGATCAAGAAGTCTTGATAAGGCCCAGAAAGTGTATTCTATAAGCACCCAGAATATACGAGGCTGACAAGCACAAAAATTGAGCATATTTATACATAATATAAACTGCTGCGCAGTACACTCATCAGCATCATTGAAAATCAAGGTGGATCTGGTGCAGATGTGAAGGTGCAGATCGGAAAAGCAAGAACAGCATTTATACACATGACGAACCTCTGGAACTCCAAACAACTATTAATCAACGCCGAAGTCAGATTTTAAATACAAATGTCAAGACACTTCTAATATATGGAGTTGAAACTTGGAGAACCATGAAAGCCATCATTCAAAAGAAACAGGTATGTATAAACAGCTGTTTACGCAAGGTAATGAGTATCCACTGGTCAGACACCATCAGCTACAATCTACTGTGGAGAAAAACAAACCGAATTCCAGCGGAGAAAGAAATCAGGAAGAAGCACCGGAAGTGGATAATACGCACA